GTTGACATTTCTGGTTTATTTCATATTTATATCTTTATCAACAAATTCTAAACAAAAACCAAACCAACCATGTGTTTGTCTGTTTTTTAAAACACTCTAACATCCTTAAAGGTAGGGTAGGGAAGAATGGATAAACCAGCTCGAGTGCGCTAGAATTTGAAAGTACGTAACTGAAAAAAATCGGCCCCTTCCTTCAGACTTCCTTACAGAGCCCCTCCTCCAACACACACGAACGCGCACATGACCAATGAGGGCACGAGATAAGTTTGTGCACAGATGGAAGGCTGACAGGCAGGTAGGCCATCCAGTTATTTTGGCCGGGCCGGCTCAGATGATTGGTCGTGCTTTTTACAGCGCCACGGCTTCCACAGATGACATTTTGTTATGTATTTATTGTCAAAGCATTTAATGTATTCATTGCTATCAGGATGTTAAGAGCATTCCATGGAATATAACAAGTGTTTCTGAAGTGAATTACCTACCCCACCTTTAAGTTGTAGTATCATGGTTTGGCCACTATGAAAATGTACTTCAATGCCCAGCGTACTTCCAGTGGACTTGAGTCGGTCTCGTTGATCTTTCTTTGTGTTGAGATGTTGTTTTTTTTGCTTTTTATGCGACATGAAGCAAATGGTCGCATATCGAAGCCGGGCCCTTGCAGAAAGCCTTAGTACAATGGCACTCTATTGCAGAGATAAACCAAGCTTTGATACACAAACAAAACCTTTTAGTAAATACATTCAATGATGGTTGCATTTGTTGCTGATAAAAATATATTTCAACATATCAGAATTGTCAATATAGTCAGCTAAATCTTAGCAACAATGCCATGAGTAGTTGCAATGGTATATCCAGAGCAGAGGTCGCGTTAACCGAATATTATCCGTCTATGATTTTTTTTTAACAATGACGGAAAAATCTGAAAGCCGATTAGAACAAACTCCGAACAGCGCCAAAGTTTCCCCGCAGCGGGGCTCCGGTATTATGCCGTGTTATGCATGCCAAAAGGAAATGATATCGTTTCCAAACCTAACTTTGCCGAACAGATCAACGAAAGTATTTGCTTTACGCTGTGCGCGTTCCCGCGAGGTGCTGTGGGCATGCATAACACGGCGCTAACAGTTCATGAGCGAGCGTCCACCCCCCCTCCCCGTTGACAGTTCACGAGTTGTGTACAGGCCGACGGGTAATAATGGATTTTTGACGGAAATTTTGCGTTCCTGTCCGTCAAAATAACGGGCAGCGAAGAAGTCTAGCGCAAACTCTGATCCACAGTCATGCTGTTCTTGTTTCAACCAAATATTCAGTTTGTATCTGCACTAAACTCGCTTTGTGTGTTTGTAATTTGTAAAACAAGTCAACTCATTGTCTACCAGGAAAGATGCAGAGTTGTAGCGGGGCGAGAAGCAGAAATAGATCATCTGGTGTGTTTCTGAGTCTGACAGCCATCTTTCCTCATGTGGAACATCTTCCAGTAGTGTATATGATGAATGGAAAACAGTGTGAATCCCTGGTGATGCTGTACACACATAATCATATATGATCAGGGTGGTGAGTGCAGGAACAACAGGGAGATGTCTCAGGAGAAAGTGTTGTGTGTCTCGTGGGGAAGATGATGTCCACTTAGGAGGACTTTGATCATCGGGCTGTCAGCGAGACAAACGCTGGGAGTTTCACTGATATCCTCCCGTCTCACACTTTACTGGCAATTAAGGAGACAAGGCTGCAAGTGGCCGATAACATCTCAAACCAGATCATAGGCGCCTCAGCAGGAGGGGCAGGGGGAGACAGAGAAGAAATGGAATAAAAAGGAGAGAGGAAATTCTCTGCAATCTGTGCTCACAGCTGCCCTCCTCCAGCAGCGAGACGGAAACTGGATGTGACGTGGGAGGATTTGTATCTGTGGAGGAGTGAGGGTACCAGTTTCTAAAATATACAAAAATAACCACAAGGAAAATAGAGGGATGCAGGAATTAGTCGAAAAAACCCTGAAACGAGTCAGCATTTTAGCATTTCCTGTTCTTGAAGTCAATGTTTTTTTTTAGATGAGAGTAACACATGTGTCACTTCAGGGCAAAAATGATGGCTCCGCCCACTTTTGGGGGAAAACAAAGCTGTCATTTGATTGGCGGTCAATACAAATTCTGAAGTTTTTGCCAATCCGATCAGAAATGTAATAAAACCGTGGATTTGTGGATCTTCAAAGAGCCCGATTACGATGGCCAGACAGGCAAACAATTACATTCAATCATTGGAAATAGACGATCGGGCTCGATATATGGTTAAATATAGCAGTTGGCGATCGATGTCCATAGATGAGAGTAACATCTACGTCACTTTACGGCCCCGCCCACTTTTGGGGGAAACCAACGCTGTCATTTGAACGGCGATCGAGCCTGAAGCCACAGAGCTCTTCTGTTACTGTCCTTTGTTCTTAGAGGAAGTACAGTAACACGTAACTCTGGATTTGTTTTAATGTTTGAGGTGCAATAAACGACACAGCAGCTTGTTGGCATGATAAAACTATTATTTTCCGCCTCGCTCATGAGAGTAACAGCTGGCGAAATTACGGCCTCGCCTACTGACTTTAATTTAACCATATATCGAGCCCGATCGTCGATTTCCAGTGATTTAATGTAATTGTTTGCCTGACTGGCCATCGTAATCGGGCTCTTTGAAGATCCACAAATCCAGTTTTATTACATTTCTGATCGGATTGACAAAAACTTCAGAATTTGTATTGACCGCCATTCAAATGACAGCTTTGTTTTCCCCCAAAAGTGGGCGGGGCCGTAATTTTCGCCCGGAAGTGACGTAGGTGTTACTCTCATCTATAGGCTAAGAGGCGGGACATCTCAAAGCAGTTGACCAATTACAACACAGCCGGCCAGATAACCAATCAGAGCAGACTGGGCTCCAATGAGTTATGATGGACAACGAGAATCAAACGCAACCACTGACTTTTGGAACTTAAATTCTTCTCAATGAGCAGTAAGGCTCAAGAAGCTTTTTTAACAATCATCTTTCGGAATTTGTGGTCATTCAGAGTTAGTGTGATGCGTATTCCTTTAGAACAAATAATGAAACAATGTTTTGTAATCATACAAATCATGTTACAACGAAAAAACAAACAGCAAAACATTGGCATCTGTATTTGCATCGGCCAAATAGTTATTCTAAACATTGGTTTACTGTATATTATAATGGGAACAATTCAATCCCATTGCTTTTGCGGAGGGAACTTTGCGATGCTTACTGCTGCAGGGATGATCTGACCCCAAAAGAGCGCATGGAGGAGCGTTTCATAAATATCAGAGACTGAAGAGAAGTGGGCGATCACAGGGAGCAGAGGTGATGGAAATTAAAAAGCTTCAGTTTGAGGAGAGAGAAAGAAAAACTCCCTCTCTGAGAGAAAACAGCTGGAGAGATCGATGTTCTAATCTGTTTCAGGTGATGCTCGCGATTACTTGAATTACTTTGTGCCATAAGAGCTTAAAGACCACTCTGTCTCAGAGGGGTGGAGAGGGACTGAACATGGGACCGCTCAGAAACACAGGAAGCCACGAAGAGAACACAGGACTCATTTTCACAGTACAGAGAGATTTTGTGACCCAGAACCCAACGATTAACTTGCTGTGTATTGATATGACTGACTGATTTTGGCTTATCACTAGTGTATCTGTGTCAGTGTGTGACTATAAGAAGAAGGTCATTGCAGTGGCTGCCAAAGATATGTTATGAAAAGGAGACTTGCATGATCGGCAAAGGAAGGTTTGTAAATGAAGAATAAAGTTATACAAACCGTAAGCTGCCTTTGTGTACCTTTGCTTTCTTTTACTCAATATATTAGATCTAATATATTATTATTCTTAATGATATTTATACATTTTCATTGATGTTCACCGTTTAAAATTAACATTAGCCGCCTTTAGCTTAGCGGTGGTGACGTGAAGTCATGTGACCATGCTGTAGTTCCTTTATAGCCCAACATTAGCCACCTTTAGCTTAGCGGTGGTGACGTGAAGTCATGTGACCGTGCTGTAGTTCCTTTATAGCCCAACATTAGCCGCCTTTAGCTTAGCGGTGGTGACGTGAAGTCATGTGACCATGCTGTAGTTCCTTTATAGCCCAACATTAGCCGCCTTTAGCTTAGCGGTGGTGACGTGAAGTCATGTGACCGTGCTGTAGTTCCTTTATAGCCCAACATTAGCCGCCTTTAGCTTAGCGGTGGTGACGTGAAGTCATGTGACCGTGCTGTAGTTCCTTTATAGCCCAACATTAGCCGCCTTTAGCTTAGCGGTGGTGACGTGAAGTCATGTGACCGTGCTGTAGTTCCTTTATAGCCCAACATTAGCCACCTTTAGCTTAGCGGTGGTGACGTGAAGTCATGTGACCGTGCTGTAGTTCCTTTATAGCCCAACATTAGCCGCCTTTAGCTTAGCGGTGGTGACGTGAAGTCATGTGACCGTGCTGTAGTTCCTTTATAGCCCAACATTAGCCACCTTTAGCTTAGCGGTGGTGACGTGAAGTCATGTGACCGTGCTGTAGTTCCTTTATAGCCCAACATTAGCCGCCTTTAGCTTAGCGGTGGTGACGTAAAGTCATGTGACCGTGCTGTAGTTCCTTTATAGCCCAACATTAGCCGCCTTTAGCTTAGCGGTGGTGACGTGAAGTCATGTGACCGTGCTGTAGTTCCTTTATAGCCCAACATTAGCCACCTTTAGCTTAGCGGTGGTGACGTGAAGTCATGTGACCGTGCTGTAGTTCCTTTATAGCCTAACGTTAGCTTTGTGGACATGTGGAGATTATCCTGCCGAACAAAAAGTGTTAGAATCATAAACGTTTGTTGCCAGAGAGATTATTTTCAGCAGTATTCTGAGATCCAATGGAGAAATCCCAATTGTCCTCCCAAGGAACAAGGGAGATGCCAACTTCAGGAACGGCCTACAAAGGCATGCCATCCCTGCACCTCTATATGGAGTAGAGATAACATTTCCTACCTCATAGTAGCTCCTCACAGCGTTGCAGAAAGCTTCATCCGCCACAATCTGAGTTTCCCCGTTGAGGAAGGCCAGGAAACGCTCCTTCACCGCCTGCAGCTGCTGCTTGTTCACCTGAGACAGGAGAGAGGGAGCATGGAGGAGGAAGAGAGGGGGAGAGGGTAATCAGTCAGAAACAGATGGAGAGGAAGAGCAGAGGGTGGAGGAGACACAGGACAAAAGTACTAGATTAGAGTCATTGTTAAAGTCTGACATCGTCATTACAAGAGGAGAGAAAAGTCTCATTATCTAACAAATGTCTTTCATTAGGAAACAGAGTCGGCCAAGAACAACCGAGAGAAGAGGAATGTGTCTGTGTGAGTGGAGAAAAGGATCAGACACCATTTGAGACTGATGGTGATTCTTAAGGGACCATAACAAAGATTTAGCTCATTGACTACACACTGCCAGACGATTTAAAGACATAATAAGGTCATTTTTTTAACTCAATTTCAGGCCGCTATTGGTTTGAAAGGTTTCAATTAATTGTTGCATAAAGGGGTGCAGGGACGGTTTAGTGCTGATGTATACGTTTCTTTGTGCTTATGACGGGTTACAACATGTGTAACCAGAGTTCCTTAATAGCATTGGTACAGGTCATTATTGTGATGTTAGGGCTTTATGCAGCATTTTATTTTACTGCTATTGCAATTTTGTATATGATTTTTGATATGAGAGACCAATGTTTTAAATCATCATGATGTGCTTTTCTGATTTAAGGTGCAAAAAGCTCTTTCTCTTTCTCATACTGCCTGTGCTGCAGCACCTCTTTTCACCCTCCGTCTGAAACCAGAGCCCAGTCTGCTCTGATTGGTTAGCTGGCTTGCTCTCTTGTGATTGGTCAACCGCTTAGATAGGGCTGTGCGATTATGGCAAAAATCATAATCACGATTATTTTGGTCAATAATTGATATCACGATTATTAAATACGATTATTCATTGACTTTGAAAACATCAATTTATTGAACTTTAAAACAAATACAAATAATAATTTGAACAGTATCTTTTTAACTGTTGATTACCCTGAACGTATAATTCAACTGAAAAACCAATACAAAAATAAATGATACATTTAAATAAATAATATCAAAATAATAAATACCAATAAACAAGATCAACAAATATTTTGGAGCGCACTTCAACAAGCTACTAAACATATATAAATATGATAAATACAAATAAATGAGACCAAAATTAATTAGATCAAATATGTTGCACTGTCACAACCTAGCAAAGCAAAATAATCGTTTTCTTCGATTATGTTGTTTTCGTAATTGTGGCAGGCCAAAATCGTAATTGCGATTAAAATACGATTAATTGCACAGCCCTACGCTTAGAGCTTTCTCTCTCCTTAGCCTATCAGGTACAATGTGTTGGAGAGCTAGCCAATAGAAGCGTGAGTGTTACTTCGTGATGTCACTATGTTCTGCAAGTAAACAAAGGATTCCAATGGATGTGTTTCAGGCATCCATTGGAATCCGTAGAACAAACTACAGGAAAGGGAACACCACAAGACCATAACGGGCCCCTTTTAGTACAGTAATTCATTAATAGTTTACTTTATGACATTTCACCAGTGGTTGAAATACATTTTTTCCAACCATAACAACATTTTTCAGAGGAGCCGTTCTCCTCAGAGCAGTGCAGTCATGCTAGGAAAACAAAATCATTCCCATAAATGTCATCGGCCCTGGTTATTCGGCACAGTGAACCTCAGCTGACACATTGTGCTCTATGAGGGTTTTAAGTTTGCATGAGCGACGGCATCACTGGAAGCTCATATGCTGCATATGTATGAGGCGTCAGGAGGAAATTAAACCATTATTCTTCCTCTTGTTGCAACACTGCCAGCAACAAATGCATTCTGGGAGTCAAAGTGCCAGTTCCCGGCTCCACAAAGTGAGCAGAGACTTATCTCCTGCCGGCAGCTTTTTGTGTGGGCTTCCACGCCTTTTCTGGGTCTAAATGCAGCCGCTGTGCTTCGCCTTTAACCGCAGCAGAGATCAGACGGCTGAATTTATGGAAAGCAGCAGGTTGTGACCGTTTGCAAAATGACTCAACTTCCATATAACAGGTTGAAAATGTGAAAGTAGTTCATTAGAGTACAGATAAGAAAACTGCTGCTGGGGGCTGTGGTATGAGTACAAAGCAGCAGCAGCAGCAGCCACATATTCATGCTGAAAAACACACATTAGTCCTCACAGATTGGAGGTTCAAAGGCAGAGTCGGACTTGTTTGCAGATCTGATTTAATGAAAGAGCTCACTGGCAGCTGAGCAGAGAGGAGGGTGTACAGTAGGAAGACCAAAAGTAGACGGTAAAGCATGGAATTTGATTATTTATAGTCTAACGTACAAAGAGAGTGGTGCAGGAATGAGTCCAAACACCCAGAAAAGAGTCAGCATATTAGCACTTCCTGTTCCCATGTCTGGAAGTCAATGGTTTCCTGAAAGTGTTTTTGGTTATCAGCTTGAAATAAGGTCTGTGGTTAACACAAGCTGAAGAGATTTTAACGATTTGTTTTACGACATAAAACACGTCAGTAAATACCCCACTGTTGAATATAAAAACAGCGTATGCTAGGTGTCTAAATGAGACGACTAAACGTCCTCACGCACAACGTTAGCCGCCTTTAGCTTAGCGGTGATGACGTGAAGTCATGTGACCGTGCTGTAGTTCCTTTATAGCCCAACATTAGCCGCCTTTAGCTTAGCGGTGGTGACGTGAAGTCATGTGACCGTGCTGTAGTTCCTTTATAGCCCAACATTAGCCGCCTTTAGCTTAGCGGTGGTGACGTGAAGTCATGTGACCGTGCTGTAGTTCCTTTATAGCCCAACATTAGCCGCCTTTAGCTTAGCGGTGGTGACGTGAAGTCATGTGACCGTGCTGTAGTTCCTTTATAGCCCAACATTAGCCGCCTTTAGCTTAGCGGTGGTGACGTGAAGTCATGTGACCGTGCTGTAGTTCCTTTATAGCCTAACATTAGCCGCCTTTAGCTTAGCGGTGGTGACGTGAAGTCATGTGACCGTGCTGTAGTTCCTTTATAGCCCAACATTAGCCACCTTTAGCTTAGCGGTGGTGATGTGAAGTCATGTGACCGTGCTGTAGTTCCTTTATAGCCCAACATTAGCCTCCTTTAGCTTAGCGGTGGTGACGTGAAGTCATGTGACCGTGCTGTAGTTCCAAATAGCCCAACATTAGCCGCCTTTAGCTTAGCGGTGGTGACGTGAAGTCATGTGACCGTGCTGTAGTTCCAAATAGCCCAACATTAGCCACCTTTAGCTTAGCGGTGGTGACGTGAAGTCATGTGACCGTGCTGTAGTTCCAAATAGCCCAACATTAGCCGCCTTTAGCTTAGCGGTGGTGACGTGAAGTCATGTGACCGTGCTGTAGTTCCTTTATAGCCGCCTTTAGCTTAGATTAGTCTAGTGGATGAAACTCTATCTCCTGAACCACAGCCAATTTATATTGTTTCAGCATTCAAATAGAAGCACGTCCAACATGCTGAATCCTTAATTCACCAAATTAGAGGTAAAAATATGCAGTCTCATGTTCCTCAGAAGGAGAATACTCAATTAGCTCAAAGAAAATGGAGAAAAGACAGCCAAAAAAACAGCTGTGCGTATTTCCGTTGACCTTTGCCATACACAACTTCTGAAACGGTCCAAACAAGTATAAAACAATCGATTAAATGTTTGTTATTTTCAAAATGTCACCGCAACTGCTTATAGTCAAAATTAAGCACAACACCTATTAGGAAGATATTCCACTAGTATGCAAGTATCCATGGACAAAGACAGAGCACAACCCAATTAAAAATCTTCTGGTGGAAATAGTTAAAAGGGAGAAATATCGAATTAATGCATCATGTAAAATATATAAAACAGCTATATATCATTATAATAATGTGCAATTCTGTTCGTAACAACAGGGAGAAACAAATTAGTATGTCCTTGGCCGACAAAATGTTGTGAATCATTTTCAGATGTGGTATTGTTGAATTTCAGACGGTGAAGCTCAGATTGTGGTTTGCTCTTCCAAAAGCTTATTTGTATTTTGATTACAGTTTCATCCATCTTTTCAGAGCGGGCATAATGGGCTTTATCCCCTGAATAGAAATACTTTGCAAATACAAAATTACTTCCTTTTTCTGGAGCTGACTTTTCAGAGCCTCTTTTCTTCTTTTTTCAGGTGACTGCGGCAGTAATGGCCTCTTACAAAATGCACCCTGCGCATGAAATGAGGTGACCCGTGAAGAGAAGCTGTGAAAAGCTGCCTGTCAGGTTTCAGCTGAATGTCTGTCCGTGCCCCCCCGTCTACTCGCCTTTATCTGATAAATGGATTTATCCCAGGGGGGTTTATAAGCACGACGAGGCGCACTTGTGCTCCGTCAGCGACAGAAAACATCCAGGTGGAGGTGTAACTTGCCCTTTAGGGATGTGGCAAATTGCCGCTGTTGGAGAGGTTTCCTGCCGGGTAAAACCACTCTGAGCTCAGCGGTCAACCTGTTCAAACGTTTAGGGAGCGTTGACTCTCAGGGATGGTCTCCGTCAGAAATGCGGTTTTATTTCTCAGAGACACTAAAAGCTCTCAGACAAAGTGGGCAGTGTATCATCAGGGTCACGTCCTGACTGACATTGATTTTGCAACACCAGAACTACTCCCACATTTTGGTTGAAATCCTAAGACCATGTGGAGTGGTGCAGGAATGAGTTCTAAACCCGTTAATGACTCAGCATTGAGCATCTAAATTAGACAAATAAACGTCCTCACCCTAACCCGGAAACTAAAGACAACAAAGAAACGTGATGATTCTCAGGCAATCACTCATTGGTTCAAATATTGGCTGAGTTAGAACTCCAAGAAGAAACTTGAATGTATGATTGAAAAAACAAAGATCGAACTGTAAGAACAACAAGCTCAATGATGAAATTGAAAAGTTTTTGAAGGGTCATAAAGATTGAGAGTTCAGCTAAAATCCTAAAAGCGGTGACGTTATCAGTATCCGTTATGGAAAACAAAACATCTGGGCATTGAGTGATGCCTCTCCACTATGATATGATTTGAGCAGATAAG